CCAAAAACCCAGAAGCTGATCATTGGAGAATCCATTAGTAGCTTCGCTAAGCTCTTCATAGGTGAATCGATGAGGCCAATATTCAAGCTCCCAATCTTCAATCTCATCCTCTTCATCATCCAACAAGTGCTTTCTCCAAAACCAGAAACATCCGGCTCCCAGAATAGCCAGAAAAGCGATACAACCAATGGCGATTCCGGCAATACCCCCTGGTGGCAAAGGAGAAGATGGGGATTCCGGCGAGAAAACTGGCAAATCAGTTACGTTAATTTCTCTTGCAAACCCCGTGTCACTTAAGCTCCAGGCAAGAACTCTTTGTGCCTCAACCCAGTTAGTCTTGGACGCTGAAAACCCAACAAACATTTCAGCAGACACGTAATTAGCAATCACTGGATCTCTATAACTAAGGGTGGGTCTAGAAGGACGAGAAACACCCAGAGGAGCAACTGTCACATTAATCTGAAAATTAGGACCATCAAAATCAATCCATGCATGTATGTTCTGTCCATCGCGCATATTAACAGGCACAAAATCCCCAGTAGAGTTGAAGTATCCAGCGGTATGGGTCTCGATGGATTGGATATTGTTCAAATCGATCCCTATGTGATTCCCATCTATGTCGTTGAATTCTGGGTTTTGCCCTGTATCGAATTCAACAACCAGAAGTGGAGCAATAAAAGGAACGGTGGCGTTGGTGAATAGACCAAAGTATTGACTCGCTAAAGCACCGGGAGGAGACGTTGAATCGGAGAGAACGAAACAGAGGCCAAAACCAGGGCTGGACGCGATCTCCGGCAAAACAGAGAACACAAACGAAGTGGAAAACGAAGAGAGAAATGTAGAATTCGAATTGGGTTTCATGGTGAGTTTTGTCCGGTGAAAAGCGCGACCAAAGGAGAACTGGTTGGAATCGTTGGTGAGCCGAATGACGGCGGCGTCGATCACGGCGTCCTCGATGAGGATCATGTCAGTGCGGTTGACGTTGGCATTAAAGGAATTAAAGAGAAAGTCGAGGGCAAAACATGGAGAGAATAAAAGGAGGATGAGGAGAAGATGGGTTTTCATCCGTACAGATTCCGATGACCGGTTGAAGAATGGAAGAGGAACTTGGATCAGTAGGTGGATTGAAAGGAGAAGATAAATGTGGGGGAAAAAGAAAGATTATTAAAATGAAATCATCTTCATTATTACAGTAGTTTTGGCGTCTCATCTACCGCTATCGGTCATAATCCGCCATTGTCAAGTCAACCTTAAAATAACTCTCATTATTTCCTATAAATCAAAAGCTATCCACAAAAATGTTTTCTTTTTTCTTTTTCTCTTCGGGAGGGATTTATACAGATGTTTCATCCTAGTTAGCATTAATTACTGAAGAAAAAGAGGGTCAGCTTACAGAATTAACAGCGAAGTTGTAATATAAATAATAAAAGCAGATATTTTGAATTGGTAAAGAAATTGATTTAGTCTTACCATATTGTTTTTAATTCAAATCTTAAGTGTATAAAGTTATTTTATTTTAATTAATATATAATATGTAAGTACGAGAATAAGTGGGGATGTAGCTCAAATGGTAGAGCGCTCGCTTTGCATGCGAGAGGCACGGGGTTCGATCCCCCGCATCTCCAACTTTTTTAGTTATTCTTAATTTGCCCGAGAGCATAAGCGATGTCGTTTTATGATGGTTAATTTATACGATGGTGTTAAATCCTCGCTTGGTGAAGAAACTATTATTAATGCTTGAACACATTGTAAATTATGTGAGCTTTTTACTTGGAGAAACCAAAACCAGATGAATTAAAGGGGTTCAAAAAAATTACTTTATAACATTGTAAATTATGTGAGCTTTTTACTTGGAGAAACCAAAACCAGATGAATTAAAGGGGTTCAAAAAAATTACTTTATATATATATATATATATATATATATATATTACATACCAACTGTTCAACCCTGCAAAGAAAAATTAATTTTCCTTTTTTTTTATCATTCTATTAAAATTATAGTTTAATGCTTTTAGTTTTCTTAAATATCTGGAAATTTTTTAGAATGGGAAAAGCTAAAGTAATATGAACATAAAAGGTCACGTGAGCTTAGAACATAAAAAATTAGATCCACATTACTTCTTACCTCTTCTAACTTTTATATATATATATATATATATATATGCAACGGAAAGAATTAAACTTTGAAGAATAAAGCTAATAAATTACAAAAATAAGGAATCTATCTTCTTTGGCATGGGAAAAAAAACGAAAAAATAATGCAGAGAGACGTAATGTTCCCCTCATTATTTAAATTTTTTTTAAAAAAAATAACAAAAAAAAGATTAATGACTTATTAACTTAGCCTAAATATCTTTTAGTGATCCAATTAGAGGTAAATATAAAAAATTTTTACGGTGAAAAATAAATTTATATACTATGTTTAATTACAATAAGCCAACGTGCTAATAAGTTAATATAAAATATTAAATTTATGGTAAATATTTTATATCTAATAGTTAAAACTAATGATAATATTGATTTGACTTCTAAATTTAATAAGATAAACTTGTTTCTTCCTTGATGTTGTAATAGTTAAACGATATACATAAAATCCACCTTTATAATTATATATTCTTTCTAATTAAGTTTGAAGTTCTCTAGAACATGCGGTTTCAACCATTACTAGAATCTTGACTCAAAATTTAAATATAAATTCATAAATTCATTTATCTTAGATGTTTTTGATGAACTCATCAAAATGGTATTTTTAAAAATTTTCTAAATAGATTCATCTGTATTAATTAGAAATACCCACAACACTATTTATAAAAAGACATGGCTCTTTGTGAGCTTATAAGGGAGAAACCATTTGTAAAAAGACATGATTCTTTGTGAGCTTATAAGGGAGAAATCATTTATAAAAAGTCATGACTATTTGTGAGCATATAAGGGAGAAAAAATTGTTTCTGTTTAATAAGAAAGAAGATAACACCCAGAAAATAATATACTACCATTATCTCTCTTATGTTGAGTTAAACCATAAACAGACTTGAGTTTTGGGGTGTGAAAATTATCCGAATCTCTAGTAATACCATGAGAGAAAACAGTGACAGTCAAGAGCATCAACAATTAAGGATCGTTCTCTGTGTGCAGAAAAACAATCATTTTATCCTATTATTTCCGCATTAAGATTAGTTCTAATTTTTTAACAGTTTTAATTACTTTAAGTTTAGTTTCTCAATAGATATTTTTAATGAACCCATCAAAATGGTATGTTTAAAAGTTTTCTAAATAGATCCACTTGTATTAATTTTGAACTAATTTTAAGATAGAGCTTTCAGATCAACTAAAGAAGTCTAATGGGATAATCATTCTTGAAAACTTTTAATAAAGAAATTAGATCAATTCACTACAATCGAATTATATTTTTGTACATTATCAAAGATTTGAATATACTTTGATAATTTAATATTTTTATCGTAAATTTAAAGTCAGTAATATAAAATCATATGTATTATATAATTTAATTTATATAATTTTTTTTTTAAAAAAACTTAAGTATATCTTTGTTGCGTTAAAAAAAAAAAAGATAATTAAAGAGTGAACATACAACAATTAAAAAATCAGTAGTTATTGTTGAAGTATTGATGCATACTGTTGTCTATTACTTTATCTTTTAAAATTTAATAAAAAATAATGAAAGAGTTTGAAGAAGGTCGGTTAGGAATATCACGAAACGGGTGGGGGTGTCTCATTTTATTTGGACAACACAACATGTTATTTTATCTACAAAAAAGAATATGAAATTGTTTCTCAACCACAAATTTTTTCTTCTTTTTATTTTTTCTTACTCGTAAGGATTAAGAAAGGGGTCCCAAAATTGATGAAATTTGGTCACAACTCACTTTGGACTGTCATGTCACGTGCTACTCAAGTGTTGTGATTCAAGACTCTATAAATATATATATATATATATATATATATATATATATATATATATATATACACCCACAACACCATTACATGATTTGAAAGAAGGCAACTACAAAAGAAGAATGAAGTGATTTCATTTTGTTTTTGTTTTGTTTTTTTTGGATAAATCATTGAACCACAAATGAATACGATGTTTGATAACTAATGTATGTAAGTGAATGAAAAAGAATACATAGTTTTACTTAATATATACAACATGTAAAGTATTGTATTTTTATTGATAATACTATTAGAGTCTTATTTTACCAACTTTATCAATAATTTAAATTTTTGTCTAATTACTATTCGTGTTACTAATTTATTATACGAGTCGTAAAAAAATATATAAACAGTCAGATGATTAAAGTTTTAATTTTTTTTTTTTGTTTGATGATGATTCTTCTTTCACGATGAAAAAAATAATATTTGATGTAATAAGTAAGAGTTAAATAATATTCATTGTTCTATTTACTTAATGTTTGAGAGATAAATAGTTTATGAGTAGATAAACTACCGACATTCATAGAATAGACGGTGATTTTTTAATACTGAAAAACTATTGAGAGAGAGTTGTTGAAGGAGAAAATAAAAAAGGAAGAAGAATAAAGAGCAAAAAAAAAAAAAAAAGAATAAAATAAGATATTTTAATATTGGAATATAAAGATGAAGTACTGTCCGCGTGGTAGGCAATGCTTGTAATTATGTTTAAAACAAGGGGATACGTCATTTGCTATACAGGCGTTTCAATGACGAAGTTAAATGCCGGTAAAATGAAGGGGTTAATTTAGACTTGGAAGTTATTTTTGAACCTTAAAAAAAGTAGGGAATTAACATATATTTTTCTAGATATTACATTAATTTTTTTAAATATATCTCCCTTTTACAAAATTATTATATCATAAAGACACTAACAGATATTACATTGCAAATATTTTTATTGTCAAAACTTTTAATTTTATTTCTCAATATATCATAAAAATTCAAATTATTTCAAAAACGAATTTCATGATTTAACTGAATTTTTACACCTAACCGTAGTTTAATCTCTTTTTTTTTTTAATGGTTTAGATTGAGTTAATATATATTTTTATATTCAATTTAAAAATAGTAAGATTTAATTAAATTATATATAAAATTTATAGACCACAGTTTATATAATTTTATAGCATACTATTTATGCAGCTGTCCAAGACACCTAATAAAGCAGAGAATCCTAACGGCAAGGCATTGATTTTCTTCTATAAAAATAATAAATAATAATATTTAGTTGAAATTTTATAAATATAAATAGGATATAATAAAAGTAAAATAAATCTACTTCCTGTGTTCTTTAATCTGTTTTTTGAAAGATGAGAATAAGAAATTGGTAGTTACCCAAAAAAAAATATAAATCATAATTAATTTATATACATTAAATAATAATTAAATTTTAAAAATAAAAATAATCCGAAGATTTCTAATATGCATTGACTGGAGTATTTTTTATAAAATTTTTTACTCTCAAATAAGAAAAATTGTTAAAAATTAAAAATAGAATAAAAACAAATAATAAATATATAAATATTTTTTTGTATTTATTAGTAATTAAATTGTAAATTATAAAAGGCATATTTTCTTCACAATTTTGTAAAGAAATTATCAGAATATGTTGATTTAATATTTTCTTTTAGGAAAATTTATTTGCTTGGTACTTTAAAGGCGCCAGAGGCGCGTGGCCCGAAATTTAAGGACCATAAAATACGGAGTTATCAACAAGTAACGTCTTGGGCCTTGCACCAAAGCCACTGGTCGTGGACCCATAGGGTCCCAACGCCAGACAAAAGAATATGCGTTCTAGAAACCCTATATGCTCCACTCACGCCAGCCTACTCGCGTCGCTTCATTCTCTTATATACCTATAAATACCCCCTAATTCTGCCTCACCCGCTCGGTTTAAACCAACCTCCCAGTATAAGTTCTTCTCTGCTCCCGAACCTTCTTCCCTCCCCTCACTCCACCAAAGCCATGGTGACTCAGACACACTCTAATAGTATCAAGTTTCTATGCAGCTACGGCGGCAAGATGCTCCCTCGCTCCTCCGATGGTGCGCTCCGTTACGTCGGCGGACTCACCAGAGTCCTCGCCGTTAACCGCTCTGTATCTTTTGCAGGTTTCTTTCTCTCCTTTCTTTATAACCTAATTTCCTGTAAAAATTAAATAGAGCGTGGTGGAATAATAACGATTTATTGTTATTACAGAGTTAATGGTGAAATTAGTTGAGTTCTGTGGTTTCTCAGTCACATTGCGGTGTCAGCTGCCTGGGGGAGATTTGGAGACGTTAATTACCGTAAAATCCGACGAGGAGTTAGTTTACATTATTGATTTGTACCATCTGTCTGCGCCAGGTACGAAGATCAGAGTCATCCTCTCTCCTCCAAATTCGATCAAGCAAATTTCACCTCCGCCAAGCCTCGTTTCTTCACCAAAATCTCCGTTTACGGCCTTCGGTTCTCCACCGGTATCGTTCGCTCGCTTCCTTCCAAGAACTTTCTCCCAGCCAGTGCAGTATTCCTTCGGATTTCATAATCGACGCAGAGACGCTAGGAATTCGTTCCCGGCCGCTTGTCACTACAACCATAGATGTTGATTTTAGAGAAAACACGCCAGGGAGCCACCCCCAGTATATGATGACGAAGAAAAGAAGTAAAAGACAAGAAAATAGGAGCTACGGAAATTAAGGTCCAATTTTTTGGGTCTCTTTTTTGACGTTTCATACCGCGATTGTAAATCTTTAAAGAATTGAAAAAGAAATTTGGATTGGGAGGAGATGCACTTTTGCCAATTGAAAATTTGATCAACATGACTGATTTAATTGTTGTGAGTATGATATGATGGATATAATATTTTTTTTAATAAATAAATTATTTTCATAAAGTAAGAAAGGATTCTGACGTGACCCTTGATGGTAAGTATTGATGATATAATTATTCACTTTTAAAATCTTATGATATTATTTAAATATTATTTTTCTTACTGAGTATATGGAATTCATCCATTTTCATACCCTCAGATGAGGAAGATAGTGAGGATTTGATCACTGACCTACCTTTTGAAGTTTATGAAAATTTTGTGGATCCACAAAGCTTGAGTGCATGAATTATTCCGCACTCTGATGAGTCCATTCACATAGTGAAAGAAGTGATTTTTTTTTGTATTTTGTTATAACTTCTGGCCTCAGTTATATATATGTAATTAGAACTCATATATATTTTGGTAAAGAATTCGTAATAATTTGCTTCACTGCATATAATTATTTATCATACACTCGTAATATGTTTTTATATCTAGCACTCTTATGCTTTAATTAGCAT